GATCGGTGTTGTTGGCGTACAGCGCAGTGTGTGATGAATGAGAGCTGTCCGCCTAGAGAGTGGGAGGGTACAGTAGCCTGTAGTATAGATTGATGTTTTCATATGGCGGGGGGGGGGGGGGGGAATCGAGCTTAAGGATGGACGGATGGACCGATGATGGCGGTGGGAAGGGGGAGGAATTATCCTGCTGTTGGGCAGGATAGGAGAAACAAACTGAACATCAGTGTGTTCAAACTCTGGACAATAAAAAGCTCACAGTAAATGTCAAAATGCTCCGAGTCCCCTCTGAGGCCCACTCAAGTCTGATCCGTGGCATTTTCAAACATTCATGAGAGCTGATTGGAAATTGAGTTTTACTTTGTGTTGTAGGACATTTAACAGGGAGAAGCAGGTAACGGAACGTAGAAATGTCTCTGCTGCTGTGAGTGGGATACAAGAAATAGAACAGTTTCTTCATCAACACTTGAGAAACAAACAGAAGGGGATAAAATGTTGGAAACTTTCAAGCTCAAAGTTGTACATTTATGGGGGGAAAAACCCTCAAACACTGAAAAATTTACAAGGAAGAAATTACATTAACAGCAGATAACTTGTGAAAAGTGATGTAGCCACATAGAGAATCAGGAAAGATCTCATCATTTGGTCGTTCGTTTGTTAAAATCCTTTCAGACAATACACAGAAAAAATGGCATAATGCATGCCTGTCGTATCCTGATGATCTGGATCTGCAGGCCAGTTATTACCAGATGTAGACGGGGTGAGACTGACTACAGGGTTATGCAATGTAATGATGGACATTACATTACACTTCTCATGTAGCTGCACAGCGTCTCTACATGAGCTAAAACCTTCATTCTTTCTCTTTTTGTCTTGTTTTTCCTCTCCGTCTATGTCAAGCACTCTGCAGCCAGTCTGATCCAGCTCTCATCCACTAACCAACCCAGCATTGATTTACCTTCACCTCGCATTTAAGCTCAAACAGAGGAAGAGAGGGAGAAGGGGCAGTTAGCAGATGGAGAAAAGAAAGCACAAAGCCTGTTAGCGCTCGTTTCGGCCTGGTAAATTTTAGACGTCACCAATCTGTCACTATATCACACACTGTACTTCTCCCCCTCAGTCTTCCTTCCTTCCTTCTTCCCTCCTTCCTCCTCTTCCTCTAATCATCCTCTGTGTGTTAATGTGACATGTTTACTGCCCTAACTAACAGCTCATTATGGCCGACTGATGCTTTGTCAATAGCAATCAGTTCATTTGGGAGCCCAGTGCTGCCTTTAAACAAAGATGTCCGCTGTGAGAAATGAACCCCGAGTCAAAGCCTTCCTCTCGCTGGGAATGGGGGGAGGGGCTGTAAATTTGAATCTCGATCCAGCCAATTACAGCGCTGACTGTTAACGGCCGTCTTTAATTGTCTTGCGAGGAAATAAAAGTAAAATAATGAGGCTTCGAAGAGCAAATGTAGCTCTGTGGTCAGAGTGGGCTCCCTTAGGGTTTATCATGCTCACACCCCACCCACATTTGCTGCTCAAACTAATGAACTTTGACCTCATGACCTCTAAAGCCTATTTTGCATTAGGTGGAGAGAATCGGTCCCCTGGCTCACTGCTCTGATGGATTCACACTAAGAAAACCACTAAAGTTATAACATTTAGCCTGTTTGAGGACGATTAATGCTCATCTTTGTTTGGAAGCATCCCGAAATCTCCCAGAAACATTTTTAAGGGGCACACTATTGTCTTTCTAACTGTCATTAAAGATTATTTTCTATTTTCACTGATTTTGATTGAAATAAAACTGTCAATATGAGTAGAAAGTTGATACTGAACATTTACACATGAATGTGTTGTTTTTTTTAAAAAGCCAGAAACTCATTTGTAATTGATTTCTGTGCGGCTGTTATTTGTAACGATCACTAAGTGGAGGTCAGAGGTCATGGAGCCCCATATTTCTGCTGATATTTATAGTCCGCAGTTTTTAAGCTTATTGATGCTTTTTATAAAAACATTGATAGATTTGAGTTCACGTCAGTATTTGCTTACCTGCTGGGGGACGAAAGTGCACAAACGTACCTGATCTGCATGCTTCATTGTTTTCACCAAGCGGCAATAAAGGAGATGCTGCAGTTCCTTTGGTGACCACTTGAGGCTCCAAAAGTTAGGCGATCCCCATAGGCTCCAATGTTAAATTGACCACCTTTACAGCAGAAATAAACATATTTACAGCCTCATACAACAAATTGTTTTGTTTCCCCCATCATAAAAATTACACAGAGGGGTGAATCTTTTTTAAAAGGCAACTTTTCTTATTTTCTTGAAGTGCTAAGTTTGTATTATTGCTGGCATGTGCTGCCCAGTTAAATTGACTTCATTTCAATTAGTTAAAGTTACTTAACTAGACCTTTCATATTGTGTTTGGGGTGTTGGTGAATTGTATTGAAAGATTGAAATAGTTACCGTGTCACCTATTGGTCTTTAAACTTGAAGGTTCAAAGCTAGCAGGTTCTCTCTTGTTTGTTTGTTTGTTTTTTTTTTTCCCCCGTAATTTTAATCCAATGTGACAACATTTGGATTTAAAAAGCAAGTCCTAAATTAACAGCTACCACCAACAACATTATCAAAGTGGAGTGTTCCAGTTCAAAGTATAAAATTGAACTTTCCTTTCCAGTAAACAGTAAAGCTGACATTTGCGAGTCTGCGCATGAGTTATTCCAGGTATCATTTAGGTTTTTTATGATTTATTTGATATTCTGGTGTGTTATTACTTTCATCTCACTCCCTCGTTCAAAGACTGTCACTTCTGGCTCCAAAAAACCAATGTGGTTGTGAAGCGAAAATTGGAGCCTTGAAAGTGCAGAGCTCACAAGCCAATATAAACCCTATTGTCTTAACAATACCAGCTAACAACATTAGCCAATGCTGTCACTGTCTGTAGATAGCTGCTATTCTTACACGGTTAACCTCTTGCCATATCGTTCATAGACCCATCCATAGGTTTTTGTGTGTGTAGATGTAAACCAATAAGGAAGGGGGTTTACCATTTAAGGCAGGCTGATGATGAAATGCCAGGAGATCCTGGTGATGCGATTAGCCGAGTGCGTCTGGAGACCGGTGGACCTTTAGAGCCACCACAGGATTATAACTAAAGTAAATCATCTGTTTTATATCGTATGTTTCTTCATTTTATGCCTATTTAGCTTTTGCATTTCAAGTGAAAACACACAAAGGGTCGTATTGATTTCTGTGACTGCAGCAGCGGCAGAAGAGAACAGACAAAAGACAGATTTTCAGCTTCACAGTAGATAAAATGAGAACTTAAATGCATGATACTCAAAAAAGAGGATGAAACAAATGAAACTCTTTTTGGTTGGTGTTATCTTTGGACCTCTGCCTGCAAAGATAGGTGGGTGAGACGAGCTAGGAAAGACAGACAGATGTGAGGTGGGGAGCACAGAGGGTGGTGGAAGGAGAGCGTTATTGAGGGGAGGGGGGGGATTTTTTTCAGGAGTCTTAATGGTCAGTCTGTCCCCACAGAGACTGGCTCAAATGTCAGGTCAGCTATGAAGTGACCTCCATCCCGCTTGCTGTCTTTATCCTCCGAGTGTGTGTCTGTCAGTGTGTGTGTTGGACTATTTTCACCCAAAACCTCACCAAAAATATCAGAACATATTTTGTCTTTATGAGAATGCTTTCCTTTCTTTTCTTTGTTTAAGATTGCGCCTGTGGTGCAGCTTGAGGCTGCTTTTCAGAGCTGATGAGACCATGAAAGATAATATTAATGTCCTTAAGATGACAAAAATTCCAGCATAAGAGGGTCACTGTGTGTATTCTTTAGTATTGTCTGATGCTGAACCCTCACAGGCTGATTTCAAACTCCTGCTGTTTTCTGATAAAACCCTCTGATTCGTTTCTCTCTGCAGGTAAGGCCCTGACCTTCCTGCTGCTGCAGCCCCCCAGCCCCAAGCTGCCTGCCCACAGCACCATCCGACGCACCGCCATCGATCTGATTGGTCGAGGCTTCACCGTGTGGGAGCCGTACATGGATGTGTCGGCGGTGCTCATGGGACTACTGGAGCTGTGCGCTGACGCCGAGAAGCAGCTCGCCAAGTGAGTCACGACGAGCCGCTTAAATAAATGAAGTTGCTGCCTTTTTAAAAAATGTTTCATATCAGACCGAAGATGCTGACAAGATAAATGTAAAACAGTTTTAAGAGTTTCCTGCTCACTTTGCCTTCATCTTCATGAAAATCATCATGAGAGTCTAACTGCATGTATACTAGAGTCCTTAAAAGTGTCATAGTGTTGGTCTGTTGTGTTGGCATGAAGGCATCTTAAAGACACACTACTAAAAGATCAGGAGTCGTTGTTTCATGCAGGCTGCAGTGGTCGTTGGTGTTTTCACCGACTGATTCTCCTGTAAGGGCAGACTGGTTGAAATGGACCCTCACTAACAAATAGTTTCTTTTTTTTTTTACACGCAGTATTTTCACATTCACACCGATTTGACGGTGTTTCACATAATTTGGTAATTTTTTTATTTAAAAAAAAGATTTTGCATCTGGAAATTGAACGCTCTGCATTTGTTTACTTTCTCTCCAGCGACTGAAAACAGACAATTTGTCTGTACTAACTTCCTGTTTGTTAATTTGTTAAATTGTATCCGTCCCTCTCAGATTCCAGAGTATATCCTATAGATACAAACATATGCATCCGCACAAATACAGACACACACACACACACACACACACACAAACGAACATTATATAGCCGACACAGTGAGTTATGGAAGCCCGACTCTAATCTGATTTCAAGACATTATGATGATGTAACGATGTCTGCGTTGGCCTGACACGAAAGTCCTCTGTCTCTGTGCACACATTTGTCTTTTTCTTCATTTTATTTAGCATTTTGTGCCCCACTTAAAGTGGCTCTTAAAAATTTCCATCTAGAAAAGCAAGCAGATTGCCCTGCAGTCTCTAGCTCCAGACAAGATTAACCCATTAGACTTTAATCAGGTGAGAGACAAGATCAGATGTTAACAAAGTACACAATATTAGCGCCAGTGTGTGGATTTCCCAGCTTAGATAATGCCTTTAAATATTTTTGGAGAACTAAGATGAGCAAACGGTAAAGACACTGACACTCCGACTTGCTGAGTTACAAGACTTTGTAAAACCACAGATGTCAGCAGAGCTGGTTTCACATACTCAACCATCAACATTACTGGCAGCAGAGTCGAGGTCAGAGGTCGTGGCTGCCTTCATGCAGTCAAAGTGAGGTTGTGGTTTGAAGCAGCTTCTTACACAAGCGAAGGTCAGGGGTTATGCGGAGAGGCTAATTCAGTGGCTTCTTCTTCATGTATGATACAAAGAGCAGCGCGTGTGCGTCTTCCTCCCTGCTGAAATATAACTGGCCAATATGAGTTGATCCTATTAAGTCTGAAACTCGAGCTGGCCCAGTCTGGTTAAATGAGTATAGATATGTCTGCCTGTGTGTGTGTGTGTGTGTGTCCATCCATCCATCCGTCCGTTCATTTTTGTTACCTCCCTGGGACCTCTCTCAGTATAAACACTGACCTTAGTCCTCATGGGGACCCAAACCAGGTCCTAATGAGGCGAAACATCGTTTCTGGGGTCCCGGTTAGGGTTTGTGTTGGGCTGTTCACAATAAATTGAAGTCAGTGAAGTATTCTAGCAAGGAAAGCTGCAGAGTGGTGTGTCAGGAAGGGAAATGACACAATTCCATTTTAATGGAATACATTTTCGGTCAAATAGAAAGAGAAGATGCCTATAAGATCCACACAAGAATTAATGCAAAAAAATTATTGTTATAAGTTACAGTACAGTGAAAAAACATTGATACAGTAGATAACGTTGAATATGCCAGTAGTGTAAAAAATAGCAGTCAAAAATTTGATTGACTCCAAGCAACTTAATCCTCATAGTACTTCCAATCACACCAGGAGCGTCTCAGAAGCGTCATTTTTATTTTACCCCCTTCCCCCTTGCACAGTCTTTTATTTTGAAAATTTCCTGTGTTTGACGTGCATCTCTTTTCACCTCCTCTGTCATTTTATATTTTTAGTAATTTTATATTTCAAGTAATTGCTGACAAGCTTATGCCCTGGTGAAGTGCTTGTCTATCCCTTCACAATTTAAATATTTACTACTTCTTTTGGAGCATTGGTCAGATTTTAACTGACACACACTGGTCACTTTAGGAGCTCTTTGCGCAAAGTGCGATCAAGATCAAGGTCATATTTGACTTTTTTGGGTAATAACCTGGAAATTGTGAGGGATTATGTGCTGAGTGAGCTACGACCTCACTGATGTCGTTTTATCTTTTGTTCTTTTAATAACAATCTTCATGAACCTTTAAAACATATGATGCAACACAAGACAACAATAAAAAATGTATTTAAAAAAACAGGCAGACATAATTGTTATAATCTTGTCTTTAAAAAAAAATATATATATATATATTTTTTTTTTTACAGAACCCCAAGTTTTACACATTTATTCCACCTTAAATCACATGTTTCTGCGAATATAATTACATCACATGGAGATGATGTCCAGTCAAAATGCATAATTTAATAACACAGTTGATGGGTAAGTAATCCCTCTAACGTGTATATGGATGTGTATAATATGCCAGTAAATAAATTCAGATTAATAAAAGGCAAATGTTAAATAAATTAATAAGAAATGAAAAATAAAGTTAACGGTAACAGTCAGAAAAAATACTAAACTGGAAACTGAAAATAAATTTAAATAAAGGATTTTTGAATATTCAGTTTGAGAAAGATTATCTCAAGTCTCCTTATAGTAACAGCTGTCCCAATAATTCTTTGATAACCTTTTCAACATAGGCAAAAATTTGTCTATATTATCTATCAACCTCTGGAATCACATTTGAGACTAAACTAAGGTATAGCAAAAATAAGCAGTAGCACTAATGAGAGCTTCAATTAAGCTATTATCATGTGGTGTGTGTTCAAGAGTCACATTATAGGAGAAGTGTTGCAGTATCAAATGTTCTTTTTTAGATACTTTAGTTTAGGGTCCCCAGCGACTTAGTGGTGAGCTTAAGTAAATATTAAAACTTAAAATACGCACGCGCACACACACACACACACACACACACGGAGTTCATGACCATGCATAATTAATAATGTGAAGTCTGCAGGTGTGTGGTGTTGCCTCCTGGTGTTGTTGAAGTAAACAGCACGAGGGCTGATCAATGAGATGCACAGTAATCACATCAGTACATTATAATACATACGGAGAGGATGCACGAACACACACACACAGTCAGTATTCAGTATTCCTTCACTTGGGCAATTTTCTTTTCTGTGGACAGAGAAACAAGGAGTTGAATGCATTACTGGCTAAAAGAGAGCACACACGCTCACTCTTTCTTTCTCCGCTCTCTCTCTGAGGATGTATTTCCATGCAGCTGACTTGCAGTGAGGCTTTTTGTCCCTGATCCACCCAACCAGTTGTCAATACACTCCTCGCAGAGCTGTGTGTGTATGTGGGATAATCCCTTTTCAATAGGTAGAGATTTGAAAAAGCTCCCGGTGTGGAAGACTTGCACTTTATATTTTCAGACACACAAGCCCAAAAAAAAAAGAAAAGAAAGGGAAAGAAACTGCTTCAGCAGTCTCCACACAGTTTTCAAGGAATCCATTCTAAGAGGTAAAAGCTGCTTTCAGCAGACGCACACCTTTATACGCTCTGCCTGTCTGCTTACTGTCTGAATAAACACCTGAGTTACTTTTATGTGAAGGTCATCGGTGCGTCCTGACCCTACCAGAGTTATTATAGTTACTACTAACTAAAGCTAAGTGTGAAGACATATTTTACTTAACTTAAATAAAAAGTGTAGTAATAATAATAATGATAACTAGACTATAAAAAATTACTGATAAAAATACACAGAAAATATTCAGGGTCATTTCATGAAAAATCAATCTGCGCCTTCCACCTGACCCATATAGAATTGGCATTTTTTCTCTCTCGTTTATTTATGTATTTATTCTGTGTGTTTACCTCTGTGCATCTAACCAGAAAGTTCCACTGTGGTCGAATCTATTTCACAAGGGAGACCTGGCCAAGGTAGCAGCCACACAAACTCTTAATATATTAAAAATACGACACAAAGTACAAGACATACAACATGGTATAAAACACTAGTGCCATCTCCAGGAAACGCTAACACATTCCTTATTCCGTATAATTTCATATCCAACGAATGTGGTGAAGCTACTAGAGTAGCTTTGCATGATTAATGGGTCGTAATAATCCATATTCCCTTTAGACTCACTGGCCACCACTTCATTAGGCACACCTTCCCAGTACCAGGTTGGACCCTGCTGCTTTAATTCTTTGTGACAATGATTTAGCAAGGTGCTGGAAACATTCCTCACAGACTTTGCTAAATGTTGACATGACAGTATCACATTGAACTCATTGTCATGTTCAATAAACCCGAATATTTCAGCTTTGTGTCACTGCGCTGAAAGCAGAAGATGGATACAGTGTGGTTATAAAGGGGTGGACAGGATGAGTGACAATGCACAGGCAGAATAAAGCAGGATGGATCAATGCTTTCTTGTAGTTTACACCAAAGCCTGACCATCCAAATGTTGCGGCAGAAACTGAAACTTGTCAGGCCACTCAACGTTTTTCTAATTTTCTGTTGTCCTGTGTTGGCGAGCCTATGCAAACTGTAGCCTCAGTTTCCTGTTCTTAGCTGGCATGAGGGGCACTCCGTGTGGTCTTCTGCTGTTGTCTTCTTCTTTAAGGTTCAGTGTTTTCTGCATATCTTTTTTTCTAATGAGTGCTTATTTGGTAACTACTCTCTGAGAGACAGAGAGAGAGTGTGTTTTACCCAGGTGGTCAGTCATAGCTAGCCTACAAAATCATAAAGAATTCAGTGGTAACCAATTAATGTAATGAAACAAAGAGAAGCATGGCTGACTGGAAATGGAGTAGGTTGTGTGCATACAATCACAGGCTGAGTAGTTTTTATTCCTTAAGTCAAAGCCACTTTTACTTTGAGATTTATACCATGATCAGCAATATGTACATTAAAGAGGAAAGCTTGGCATCTTTCCATACCCCCAAATAGTTTTATGCTAAAATTGTGTGGGATTGTTACAAACAAGATTTGACTGCAAGCTTTTTCTGCAGTATCTATTCTTGTGGCCCATGCACTATTGTATGGGTATCCCGATTAAAGCTTTTTCCACAGTGATTGTTGGATCTTTAAATTCTGTTCTCATTTGCACTATCTATAAGATCACTCTGAATTTAAGCCCGCTTTCGTACTGCATATCTACAGAGATATCACATTTATATAGAAAGTTTTCTAAAACGTTGAGGGTGTTTGAATCTCCTCCCGGTCTCCATCCAATCAGAGACCACCATAGGGATAAATGCATGTTTTCAATGTGTTTGTCTTGCAGGGATAAATACATCTTTTTACACTGTATTTGTCTGTCTACAAGTTTTGAACGATTGCGTTTCTCATGCAGGGGTAAATGAATGCTTTGGCGATCTGTGTGTCATGCAGAGATAAGTACATGTTGTTGTCACCATAGATGTCCACTCATGAACCCTAAAGGGAAAAACAAAAATCTGGAAACTGCAGGTCACCATTACTGATCAGTTTTGATCTGTGGGTGTGTTTGTGCAAATTCCACCCAGACCTGAGATAAGGCTGTCAGAAACTCAGGAATATCATAAATATTGTTCCAAAATGTCAAAAAAGAAATGAAAAAATTATAATTAACCACTGAAAAAGCCAGTGTCTGCTGTAAAGATTGCATCAAAAGGTTGCCCTACTCTCCACCTCTCCACCATGCTCTCTGCAGTCTGTGGGTACATTTACAGTCAGTAAACCACGCCTTTAAGCAGCTGAGAAAACCAGTTAGTCAGTCCATTTAGACCAACACAGTGATGCGTGACCAGCCCATGTCAGAGTTTATGTGAACGGGTCAGCACACGCCAGCTAACCCTCCACAGATTGGACACCGCCAAGCTTTTAAGCATCCATCTCTTATTTATTTATTTTTTTGGTCTAAAAATCTTTAAATCTATAAAAACTGTTACCTTTAGTTTAAGCTGTTTAAAAAAAAAAAAGAAAAAAAAAGAGGTTTAATAAATTGAACTTTAGTTCTTTCCATTTAATTGAATTGTTTGCTGCCATTTATTCATTTTATCAATATTTTTTGGTTCTTGATGTTTATGAAAAGCTATGAATGATGACCAAAACATAACTTAAAACACTCCTTGTAGAACAGAAGAGACAGAGTGTGGACATGGCAAATGGACTGGTTCTTATATAGGGCTTTTTTGCTCTGCCTTCTCTACCTTTACACAACGTGCCTGATTCAACCGTTCACATACCCATTCTTACAAGCACTTTTTTTCTATGTTTTGTCTACGTAAATGCTTTCTAGCATTCTGTCTAACAGCTTGGAGTTAGTATGTTGCCCAAGGATATTTGGCATGCAGACTGGAGCTGCCAGCAGATTAGTAGATGACCTGCTCTACATCCTGAGCTGATCAACATATTCACACAAATTCCCTGCAGCATACTTACTCAGTTATTACGGTAAACAAAGTAAACAAATCACTACCCCGGGATCTTATAGTGTCTTGAATCTGCATTCGTTTTAACTGTTGCCAAGGGGTGACACAAAAAGACTTCTGGTCTGGTACAAATCTGTTAAAATTACTCTCTGCCCAAACCTCTGTAAAATGTTTCCCACCTAATTTATGGGCTCAGTCGGTCAATTTTAGGTGATATTAAATAAAAAATATGAAATTCATTTTGTAACTGTCACTATACAGGAAATGCTTAGCCAATCAGCTTGAAGCCCACGCATCACTCCTCGAACCTGGTTTAAAAACAGCAAGATGGCAAGAATGAAAACACTGGTGGCTACATCCATCTTTTGTACTGTCTATAGCGAGTCCTGTGGTCGGACCAAATGACTCTGGGAACTTCCACATGTTCAGCCCTACTTGTTAAGAACTGCAGAACGTTTAGAATCAATGCAAGGAGGGTTGCTCCTGAAAATTTAAAGGAATCATTTTGAATATGGCTGGGTGGTTGTTAATAAATCTGGACAGTTGAAAGTTAAACTCCAGTCACCCAACCCCAGTAAAAAGTAGGGTCATCAGTCTACATAGAAAAGGTCAAATGTGCATTAACTAGAGGCACATCTTACAATTCAGAAATGATCCAGTAAATCAGTCTGTAAACAGTCCAGTTACCCCATCTGCAACTCAGTGAGAAAGCCAATCAGTAAGCCAGTGAGTCCCTGGAAGTCACTCAGCCATATACACACAGCGCTGGCTTCTTGCAGCGTGGATTCTGGTCATGTGACTGGAGTTATTCACTCCTCCCTCGCACACAAAAATCAATACTTCCAGTCCTCGCTCTGTGTGTGTGACTTGGTATCGACTGGATAATGTCAGCGTGATATTGGCTGTGAATGCAGCCATGTTGCCAGCTTCTCTCTCTCTCTCACACACAGTAAGCCCTGAGTGTGTGTTTCATGTCAGCACTGAAAGTTCATCACAGTCGAATCCTTTCTATCTGGACTCATTAATCCATTTCAGTACAACCACTTTAATGCTGAATTTTTGTTTTTATTTCATGGACAGTTGCTGGCTGCTAGTTTGGATGATGAAACACTCTTAAAATAGACCCATTTTAATATTTAATTTTATTTATTAATATTTTCTTGGGTTTAGTTTTGTTTCATGACTCTGTGTGTCTCTCTCTGTCTCCTGTGACTCTAATGGTAACCCAGATTATTTCATTACATGTGCTAAACGCTGGTTATTAACCCCAGCCGGTCTCGGCACAATTGGCCCTTTGCTGCCTTATATCAACACTGTGACTGTTTCCAATTACAGCCACCTCTCTGAATGAAATTAAACATTTCAATATTGCTGATATATTGCCGATATATTACCGGTATTAATTACGAGATCTGCGGCTGTGATGTGTAATCAGAGGAGATGAATCGTGCAACTCGCCCAGCCGTCCACCCATGTCTCTCGCTCTCGCTCTCTCCCTCTCCCTCTCCCTCCCTCCCTCCCTCCCTCCATTTGTTAACAAGGTGGCCTCACTCGCCCTCGTAGTCTTTTTTTCTCTTACAATCATACACATACACTCTCTGAGGGGTGTGTGTGTGTGTGTGTGTGTGTGTGTGTGTGTGTGTGTGTGTGTGTGTGTGTGTGTGTGTGTGTAATTCCTGTTGCATTGTGGGAGTCCATTATGCTGTCGCCTGGTGAATGGCTCCCATTGACTTGGCCTTGACATTATAAGCTGCTGGCTAATCTCTTCACTCCATATATTTGTAAAACTCAATCTCGCCGTTGCTTTTCTCAGATTTGTCTTGTTTTCTTCCACTCGCCTAAAGTGGCTGATTGAAATGTCTAAGTCCCCCTTTAGATTTGTAAAATCTCTAAGAGATAAGCCTTGCATGGTTTTCTTATTGTCAACAAATCCCAGCAAAACCACATAAAACAATAATGAGTATGTCCTGGGTTTAAATTTGGTGCTATGGCTTTTTTTAAGGCCTCATAACTTCATAATCACCAAAGATGGAAGATTCAATTTTCAGTGCTGGGAAACACACTTTGGCTCTGTTTAAAAACTGAAACCAAATCAATTTTACATTCATTCAAAGTGTCACAATTTACAAGCAAAAAAATTGCCTTCCATAGCCATCTTTTCAGCATCAATGTACTGCGATATGTTGTAGTATCAACAGCAAAAATCCCCTAATCTATTGTCTATGAAGAATAAGAGGAACATAAACAGTAATTTCAAACATCTGAATGATACATTTTACTCCCTCGTTCTACAGTGTCACCATGGGTTTGCCCCTCAACCCTCCAGCAGATTCGGCCCGTTCAGCCCGTCACGCCCTCTCTCTTATTGCCACCGCCCGGCCGCCTGCCTTCATCACCACCATTGCAAAAGAGGTGTGTTTTCAGACTTCTTTACCAGCTGCTGAAACCAAAGCCATCTTATTAGGTACTCACCAACTGTTTTCCCTCTCCAGCTCTTATAAATATAAGTGTTGTATCTTTTCAGGTTCATCGGCACAACGCTGCTCAGGCGAACTCTCAGTCACAGCAGAACATTCACACGACCACTCTGGCCAGAGCCAAAACAGAGATCCTGCGAGTGATCGACATCCTGATTGAGAAGATGCCTGGAGACGTCGTGGATCTTCTGGTTGAAGTAATTCGAACTATATTTGAGATCGATGAAAGATAACATTCTCAAAAATCCCAGCCAAGGACACAAGCATAATATAATTCAATTAAGTATTTGACTTTACCAAAAATAAAAAAGGAGCTCTTTTTACCCTTAGACAACTATTGTTATTAATGACGCCAGTGAAAGCTAGCATCATCCAAAACAGAAAAGACCTGAAAGTGCTGAATCAGAAGCTGCTGGCTAGTCAACCCCATGACTCAGGGTTGGATTTTTAACTTGTATGTCTGATCTTACTGTAAAGCACTTTGTGATTTTTATCTGTGAAATGTGCTATATAAATAAATTTTACTTACTTACTTACTTATTTATAAACCAAACTAAAGGAGAGTCAGAGAAGATGATCTGTTCAGACCCTGGCAATAAAAAGTGTTTAATACATGGAAACAAGCTACATAGGTTAACTTCAACTACAATAAAAACTGTTCTCCTGATCCTTAGGTGATGGATATCATCATGTACTGTATTGAAGGTTCTCTGGTGAAGAAGAAAGGACTGCAGGAATGTTTCCCTGCTATTTGCAAGTAAGTTTGTCATCAGGTTCAACCCCAAGTAATATCTTCAAACTGGGAGGGGCTGGGAAAGGCGAGCTGGGCCCTGACTGCTGTGTCTGTGACCGTTTACATTACATTAAGGTGTGTCAGTCTCAGTGTGCTATTAGTGTTTCCGTTTGTTTGTTTACATAAAAATTAACCTTGAGGCGGGCGTGGGGGTGAGCCCCCAGAATTGGACAAGAGGAAGAAAATGGATGAATGAAATCTTCCTTCATCGCTAAACATCTTCCCTTATACAGTGTTAAATGTTCATGTGTGTTTGCTGTCCACCTTTTTAGGTTCTACATGGTTGGTTACTGCGACCGCAGTCACCGCATCGCTGTCGGAGCTCGCCAAGGTTCAGTGGCCCTCTACGATGTCCGTACAGGGAAATGTCAGGTACATCGAAAAACTTAAACTGATCAGCTCAACAGCTGTTTGATTACACCAGATGAAGTTGGTTTTTACTCTGGACCCCAGCTTTACACATCCTTTCTTCCACCGCCTCCTTCACACAGATCATCTTCTTTTTCATTCATTTTCCCACTCTCATCCATCCATCCATCCATCCATCCCACTTTGTATTAATCCACCCCTGCATGTAGCCTTCACGGCCCAAGGCGTTCAACAGATTTCCAACCATAATTATGACTGCACGTGGAAAACCAGCTGTCTCCACAGATAGGTCTTTAGTACAGAGTGCAGGAGGCAAAGAGAGATTTCATCAATGATTAGAAAACCAAAAGGTTAATGTCTGGTATACAAAGTCCTTGAAGCAGGGGAAGGTGAGAAGGTAACCAAAACTCAGATATATTAACTAAACTCTAAGACATCTCAAAACTTAAGCACCATCATGTTTTCATCCTTTTATAATTAGAAAACACATGTGAGCAGGTAAACTGAGTGTTCAGTTTTTGTCTTTGGCTTTTGCACGCACTGATGTCATTATTTGAACATATTTAATCCATCTGAAACAGCAGATATGACAGAAAATTAAGCATAATAGATGCCTTTAATCTCTGTTTGCTCATTATGTTGGAAAGTTTCCATCTGTTTGCAAACAGGATGCTTTAGCTCAAACTGGAGGAAATGAGGAGCAGCAGAAACAGTAGGTTTAAATGAGAGAGGAGGAGAGGAGTTTCATTTTTTCACCCCTCAGTAATTGATTAATGATGAAGCAATGACTCTCTTAATCATGTTTGTGTCTCGCGCGTGTGTGTGAGCTGCTGGTCTCCATGTTTGTGTGTATTTCTTGTATGAGCGGGTGTGTGTTGATAATTTGCTGTGTATTGATTTGCAGTAACCTGAGCAGTCTACTCTGGTGGAGGGGGTCATTTATATCTGATAACAGCACGGGCCTTTTCACCCAACATCTCGTTTGAGTGTGTGTGAGTGTGTGTGTGTGTGTGTGTGTGTGAGTGTGTGTGAGTGTGTGTGTGTGAGAGAGAGAGAGTGAGACAGGAGGCACTTTGTGTGTTATTTGCAGTAATTAACTTTTAATAGATAATGGCTTTGTAGGAAGTGTGTCTCTCTCTGCTGGAACCATTGCAGGTGTTTTATTTCAGGTGCAACATAAAGCTATTATCTTTATTAACACACTTACAGAAATGGGTAATTAATTCAGCCAGAAAAGAAGAATGTTTAAAGCTCACTATTTCTTAAATGGTCTTCCCACAGCTGTAATTAAAACCTGTACAGCAAGGCTTCTAGCTGCAGCAATGTTCCAGGCACCTAATATTAGTCGATTAAACAGTAGAGGAGTCTAAAAGTGAGCAAACACTAAGAAAACGGTTAAAATTAAGTGCAGGCTAATGGATGAGGTTAAAAACTGGCCAGACAAATACTTTTGCTGTATTTAGGAGTCTTTTAAAAACCAGAATTAGCGTTTATAAATAACCAGCTCTTGAGTGTAACCAGTGATTTGCACTTTGTTGTAAACCCTCTTTATTTACATACTTGAGAACTTCCCATGATTCAGTAGCTTGGGAAGCCACCTTCTCTCTATGACTTCAGTCTCTCACATCATGGGGGAAGGATTTTGACCAACTTATCTTTACAACATTGCTTCAGTGCATTTAGGTTTGCAGGCATTGGTTTATGCACAATCCTAAGTAGAATATTTTGGTCTGTGGGGGAGTTCATGGATGACTCAATGACCGTAAGGTTACCCTTGTCCTGTAGCTGCAAAGCAAGCCCAAATCAGCACCCCTCCACCACCACCACGGATGGCTATAGCTCAGGCAGTAGAGCAGGTCATCTACTGATCGGAAGGTTGGTGGTTTGATTCCTTGCTTCCCCTAGTCTGCATGCTAAATATCCTTGGGCAAGATATTAACCCCAAATTGCTCTCTGATGTATCCATCGGAGTATGAATATTTATAGTTCACCAAAACCCAAATGACCATAAATTTAAAAAAGCCTTTTATTAATTTTCTTAGTTAGAAAGCACTAAGAAAATGTTCTTGTGCGAATGGGTGTGAATGTGTGAATGCACATTGCTTTGAGTGCTCAGAAGAGTAGAAAAGCGCTATATAAGAACCAGTCCATTTACCACCACCACCGCTGATACGTTGTTTGGTTTTCTCCAAACGTGGTGGTGCTGCGCATTATGCTTGAACATGGTAAATGGCCTGTATTTGTATAGCGCTTTTACTTAGTCCCTAAGGACCCCAAAGCGCTTTACACATTCAGTCATCCACCCATTCACACACTGGCGATGCCAAGCTACCAGTCAGGCGCACTGACAGAGGCGAGGCTGCCGGACACTGGCGCCACCGGGCCCTCTGACCACCACCAGTAGGCAACGGCTGAAGTGTCTTGCCCAAGGACACAACGACCGAGACTGTTGGAGCCGGGGCTCGAACTGGCAACCTTCCGATTACAAGACGAACTGCCACGATCGCCCCTCTTCTTCAACATCACCACTTTGGTTTCGTCTGTCTAAGGGACATTGTTCCAGAAGTCATGTGGTTTGTTCAGATGCAAGTACAACAATGATTTTTTTGAGGAAAAAAAGAATTTAATTTGCAGTGCAGCGTGTCACTTACATCACCGAGCAGAGAAACCCTCTTTCACTTCTGAGGAAAAATATTTTTTTGTTGCAACTCTTTGACTGCAGAATAATACAAAACCGAAGTTTTCTGAACTACACTTTAGATTGTTTCACCAGACTCAGTTTAGAAAATCATGCACTCATAATAGTCAGCTTGCCAATGTCCATCCATCCATTCTCGTCCTCTTATCCTTATCAGGGTTGCAGGGGGGCTGTTCCAAGTCACACCAGTAAATTGTTGTGTACTCAAAAGGGGAATTCGGAAACGGTGTGTTGCATCACCTCTAAGAATGTCAGCTGTCAGTTTGTGTTCATGACAACTTAAAATAATCATCACAATAGGGGCCAGCTTTGTCCTCCATGGGGCTAAATCTTTTTTTTTTTTTTTTTATTTAACGCAGCAGCAGAAAGTTGTCAGATCTCTTTAGAGACTTCTGAATAAACGGCATCTCCTTGGAAAAATGGGAACATCTCGATTTCCAAGAATTTCAGAGGAGCTAAATTGTTTGACTTGTTTTAGTGTATTTAAAACAAAGTGAGAAGGAGGAGAGAAAGGAGAGACGACCTCTTTGAAATAGTGGAGGAGGCGAGAAATGGGGACCAGAAGAAAAGCAAAGACGGAGAGTAGAAGGAGATGAGAGGCAGTTTTTGTTCATAATCAATCTTTGCATGTGTGTGTGTGCAAGCGGGTGTGTGTGTGTGTGTGTCCAACCGTAGCTAGCTAGTCCCCGCATGACCATCTGCCACGGCTTTGATCAGCCTCCGTGAACAGCCCTTTGTCAGCAGCGTGTGTGTGTGTGTGTCTCCAGCTGCTTGCTTCTTTAACAGACTCTACTCAGTCTACTAATTGAACACAAAGAAACAATCTGAGTGATTTCGTACCTCTTTTTGCATCTGTTTCTCTCTAACAGCTGAAACCTGCAGCTGAAGGTGGCAGCGTAGCCAAAATTAACCTGAAGAATCGTCTCCCGCAATGCATGACATGATGAATTAATGTAAACTGTGTCCCTATTCTGGTGGTAATTGGGCTACTGTGATACCTACACCACGTTCAGCTGCTATTTGCTGTGTAAAACACTCTATGAGGAATATGTTTTTAACTGCAGATGTTCCTGGAAACTAAATGCTAAAGTTATAAATGAGGGGAAAAATGAGTCTAAAAGTAAGAAGACGTACTCTGGTCATATAAATAGTGTCTGTGTATTTAAGTGCTATTTGAAAGTATTAATCTAGTTCTTTGATAACCATATTGCATTTTAAATGGACGATGATTTGGGTAGAAGCCTCAGTTAGATGTCAGTTTAATCCCACAGCCAATAAACAGCCACTCCTCTTATAATTCAAAGTACTGTTTCTACCTTTAAATTGTTACGATGTTCAAGTTTAGTTAAAAATTTGAAAGATTTTAATTTCTGGTGTCAACTAGCGAGAGCAGTAACAGCTTCTAGTCCACCAGTCACACGCACCCTTGTTTTTCTAGCTGTACTTATTGTTGACAGGAGGAAGTTGGTTTTATTCCTGTAGCTGTCTTGGTCCTGGGTTGTTTTTTTGTGTTGAGTTTTTTGTCCACACATAACAACTTCTCACTATTATAATTCCCATCTGATGATAACATACGGGGTACTGCCCGTCCAAAACGCCCCAAAGAGCCCTCTCCTATTGGTTAACGTAATAGTTGTTCAGCAAGGGGGCGGGATTTACAAGCTGTCAGTCTTCGTCAGAGAAGATGGAATAATAAAATGGGGTGAAGCACCCATGTGATGCACACGCGCACATACACACACAGACACACAGAGCGGAGCCCCAGGCGTCAGGTGTATTGGAGTACAGAGTGCTGTAAATGGTTTCAGTGTGCTTCACTGCGCTCTGATAGGTTGATTGATTTGGTAGGCAGTCCACTGTGAGACACACACACACACACACACACACACACACACACACACACACACACACACACACACACACACACAGATCATAATATATATGGAAGCATCAATGTTTAATCCATGTTATACAGTTTGTTTTCTACATAATTTTTTATTTCACCTTCTCTGCGTGAGGATCTGAGGAAGACAAAATAATATTTAAATGAAGTGATTAAAACTAACAGTGACTGTGAACCAAAGCGTGATGATCGCTGCTATGAGCAAGAAGGAAGGATATCAGGCAGAGGAGCTAGTTCATGCATCCACAGTGAGGAAAAACAAAGATACCTCCTCAGTTTCTGACTTTTAGAGGGCATCTGAACAAAATGGCAGCTGCACATCAAATGAAACTGTCCCCACATAGCAATGTCAGAATCCTCTGTTTATTGTCAGGAACTCAAAAATTGTCTAAAAAGAAAAAA